CAAAGTGCAAGTTTAATATAGGAAGCAAACTGAGCATTTCTGCTTGATGCCTGCACTTCAGCAGGTGAGTGCAGCCCCTTCTGCAGCGTGGATGGATTCCTGGTGGACCACAGGTGATGGCAAGCAACAGTGGACAGAACACAGCACTCTTGTTCATCAAGAGCAGAGCACTCTGAGTGTGTCACTGGCCTGAGTTTCTATAAACACAGTTTCTGTGGAAGTTGCCAGGCTGGGTGGGAGTAAAGGGGAGGCAGAACTCTGCTTCTCAAGGCATGTCCTCAGCAGTGGGAGATTTTTGATTCCCACTTTATGTCAGCTACTGCCTACAGTTTTAGCTCCCTACCTGCTGCTTCTCCCTTTCTTGGTGGTCACTTGTCTCCCATGTTTTGTATATACACAGCAGCATGCTCACAGTGGGACATGTCCACCAGCTTGGTAGCACAGTGTGTGTGCCCATGGAGTCCTTCCCTTGGCAGCCTGAGCTGCTGCAGGAGCTGCAGTACCCAGCAGTGCTGGTGCGAGAGTGGCTTCTGCCATCCCTCTCCTCCTCCTGGAATACCCATGTGAGACTGTCTGGAATGTGAACACAGTTGCTTGGGTTGTTGAAAAAGGCTTGAATTATTATAAAATTCCTGGCCTGGCATTTGGCTGATGATTAATTCCTTGGTTTTGCGTGGTACTTTGATGTTCCGGATGTAAACCCAGACCAGGTTGTTACAACTGTGTTGACCTCAGTGGAGTCATCAAAGTCATTCCAGTTGGCACACCTGGTGCTGTGTGGTATTTGTATTCTGTGAAGCCAGCATCCAGTCATCGATTTAAGTCTTTCCAGGGACTGGAGCCTCTTAAGCTGTTAATCTTTTTTTCTCTCCTGTATTGATTGCTGTGCCACTTACCAGGAGTGACCCTCTCACCACACCTTTTGACTTTGAGCTTGCTGCCTCTCTGGAATCCTTCTCTGAGCCTTTGCAGTTTGTGCTGTTTGTATTGCCACAGTGCTTAGAAACTCCTCACAGGTTGCTCCATTTCTCTCTTAAGTTTTCCCTTCTCTACTCCCTCGCCAGTATCTTGTTATGTAACTCTCCCCCAGCCAGTGCTGTTGGCTTGCATAGATAAATTTCTTGATGCTGGATAATTTGGAATAACCTTATGACAGAAAAATCCCCCTCCAAAATGCAGTTGAGTCTTGCATTGTCCTTTGGTGATTTGGCTGCTGGTGGGGTTTGCTGGGTGGAGTCCTGGTGCTGGCATGTGCTCTCTCTGCTTGAGAAGAGCAGATTAAGCTTAATACTTCCTTCAAACAAGGCTTCTTCATTTAATGTGGATGGGCAGGAGGCACTCAGGCTGAAAGCAGATTTTGTACTTTAACTTCCAGGTCAGTGGGTTTTTTGTGTTGTTTGTGTCAGCCCACAGTGGCCCTTTGTTCAGCAGCACAACTTTTTCCACCTCAGCAACGCACACGAGGCATGTGATACAGGTCCTGAGTTGTGCAATAAACTCCAGCAAATATATTGCCTGTTCCACTTCAGGGCTTGATTGTGTGCCCTATTGACCAGCAATAAAGCCAACAGTATAGAGGTAATTACTTACTCATTTACTTCAGCTTTTTTATCCATGGTTGTTGCCTGTGTGGGGGAAAAAACCCCATAAGTACTATGAGAGGGAAAATTTTGTCTTTAGAGAGGTGGTCCTGGTAACTTGTGAAAGCTGGATAACTTAATAGCATTAGTCAAGTATTAAATTAAATATTTAATTTAGTAATGATGTCATTTTGTTGCTAAGGAGGGACAGGGTTATGGTCAGGGTAGTCACAAGCACAAAAATTAAAAGATGAAGGTGTCTAGATGAATGTCCTGTAGCCTGTTGGAGTCCTAGTCACAAAACAGCTGCTTGGAATCCCATCTTTGCAGGGGTTGCTTGCTGGCACCTTCCTTTGCAGAGTCTGGAAAGGCAGGAGGGGAGGCCCCCTCCCTCACTCAATGCTGGGCCCTTTCCTGAGCCCCTCTGGAAGTTGTGGGCACTTGCCAGTAGAGCTGTGAGCATTCCCACGTGGATAGGGTGGGACATCCCACACAGAGCAGCACTCTGCTCCCTGCCCAGCTGCTCTGAGCAGCCACTGGGCAGAGGGGTGAAGGGAACCCCAGCTCTCCTTCCTTCTCCAGTCTGGCAGTGCCTCACTGCTCCAGAGAGGCTCTGCTCAGCCTGGGGCCAGCTGTGCCTGCCCTGCTGGAACCTCCCTATTTGTGCTGTGGATCCCTGCAGAATTCCCTCCATCCAGATCCTCTTGGACTTTGTTCCCAGCAGAAAATCCTGCTTCTTGGAATTAAGGCACATGAGTCTAACTCAGAATTGCTGTTTCCTGGGAAGTTCTGACGCTGTAAAGATTGTTTGGCTTTTTTTTTTTTTTTTCCTTTTCCCTGTAATCTGAATGAAATAATGTTTTAAATTTCCTATGAGGACACTGTGTCCCAGATTTTGAGTTTTAGAAGTGTATTGCTCTGGGATTTCTGAATTCTTGTTTTGAGCTATATCCATTTTAAGTTGTTGCACTGCTTATGCTTCCTATTGATTTGCCAAGTAAAGCCTTGTAGCAGGTCACAGTATGTGTATTATATAAAAAAAGGTAGTTACTTTTTTTAAAATCAATAACAACAGCAGCTGCTTAGTATGATTGAAACATCTCATTCCCTAGAACAAGAACTGCCTTGTTTGCAATGTAATGAGAATCTGGCACTGCAGTTACAACACCCAGCAATGGTTTAATCTAGAACGCTGGGTAACATTATATTATGGAGTAAAGAGAAATTCATCTTAATGATATGAAAAGTAATCAAATACTTCACTGTTTTTATCATGTTAGGACAAGGTAATAATGATGCATGTGGGATAAAGACCTCTTTGAGATAAAGTTTGGAAGTTATGGAATGGAGCTTCTGAGCTGCCAGAAGCAAGGCTGTTCCAAGGAGCTTTGGCAGGAACCTTTATCAATGTTCTTTCAAAAAACAAATCAAAGAAAAGGTCTGTTCTTTAAGAAGTTCTTCCCAATAAGTTGTTTTGCTGGGGTTTTTCTGCTGTCCTGTCCCAGGAACGACCTCTTCATTGCACTCCTGAGTGCTGTCACTAGAGAAGTCTTGGATGTTCTCATTTAAACCCAAGACTCCATAGTGAAAGTCTTGAAAATCCCCTCACTGCACCAGCTGCCCTTCCCTGGCTCTGCACTGCTTGTGACACATCATGTCAGGTGTGAGGGAATTCAGGAAACCTCCCGAGGCAGGAATGTGCTGCTCAGCTGCTGTCCCTCCTGCCCCTCACTGGGGACAGGACAGCCTGCTGTCCCTGCTGGACTTCTTCATGGAGCCTCCTCCACCTGCAGGAAATGCCAAATGTCACCAGCCTGTTTCTTTTCTCCAAAGTACTACCCAAACATTCAGCACAAATAAGTTCCAAAAAACCCCAGGCTGTCCTGAGCAGGGAAGATGTAGGCACACAGTTTGTGGTGATTGGGAGTGGGGCTGGGGCTCAGCCTCATCCCTAATAGGCTACAGCTGTGAGAAGCAGGTGAGCAGCATTGAAGGTAATGAGCCAGGGCTGCTGACCAACCACCAAAGGGAACAGAGGGCACACAGGTGCAGTGCATCAGCAGGAGGGGATAAAAGGTTGGGCTAAGAACAAGAAGGGCAGATGCCTGCAGCCTTCTGAGGTGGAGTGATGCTACTCTGTGTGGCCAGATGTCTGAAGCCTTCTGATGATGTATGGTGTTACTGTGTGTGAGTTGAAGGTTTCTGAAATTTGTATGGGGACACTCTGTGTATCGTGGCCATCTCAACTGTCACATGTGCTGTGACAGGAAGATGGCTTGCATGACTGGGAGGGCACAAAATTAATGGTGCCAGAGGTTCCTTTCCTGTCCTGCTTTACAGTGAAATGAGATGTCTGGGCCTTGGCTGCTCTTCTGGAGGAAGGTGTTTCTGTGGTTACCTTGCAGCCTTTGTCACTGCAGGCACTGCTGGGAACCAAATTCCAGTGTGGATCCCAGCATAGGTGAAGGGTGTATCAGTCTTAAATTTATGCAGCTATTACACTGTGTAGTTAAAATAAAATGAACTGATACTGCAGAAACAGCTTGTTTGTTACAAACAAATATGTTCTGTTCACAATGGAGGAGCAGATCTGGGCTATGGAAGAATTTGTTTCCTAGGCTAACATCTGGGCCTAGCTATGTCCAAACTGATTCTTTAATCATGTATGAAAATGCCTTTGCTTATTGTTAACTGATGTTTCATATGCCACTGTTTCTAGTTTGGCTTATACTGAAAGTGGATCTTGCAAAGGCTGGGATCTGGGAGACAGCACAGCTACGTACAGGAGATTAAAAACTGCAGGGAAGCCCCAGTGAAATGCAGGCAGCAGGGAGTTTGCCCATGAGTAGGGAACAGGTGTTTCATGTGCAGGGAAACTGAGCCTTGTTAGGAGAAGGATGTTCCCATTGCTCATGGCAGCAGGGAGGGCTTAGTGCATGTATGTGTTCAGCTGCATTTTAGAACTTGCAGAGTCCAGGTAAAAGCTGTGAACTTCTAAGTAGGACAGGTCTGAGATCTGAGGGTCTAATAGAGACTCTGTCCTTTTGTCACCACTGTCTGAGCCAGAAAAGCTCCAGATTTAGAAGGAATGTATGGTGAAGAAGAGTCAGAGCTCACATGGCTGTAGGATGGTTTTAGGGAGGCAGCCCTGCTGCAAACAGGGAGTTTAAACAGAGTGCAGGGGTGTGCCAAGGACTCTGTGTGGGGTTCAGCCTGAAAAATGGGCAGGTGCAGAAGGGGCTGGGAGGAGGAATGAGGGTCAGAAAGCCTGGTAAATGAGAGAAAACCAAGAGAGAGGAGTTTGCTTTGCCTATAAAACAAAGCCTGGGAAGCAATGGGTTTTCTCTCTGTAAAACCCTTCATTGCCAAGTAAATACTAGAGGGGACAAAAAGTCCTTTGTAATAAAAATCAATGCTGGTACAAGGACTAAGTGGTACAAATTTGCTATTAATAAACTTAGTCTGGAAATTAGATTTTCAACCACTGGAGTGAGATTCTGGAGCAGTGTCTCAAAGGGAGAAATGGAAACCAAGGGAGCTTTGTAAAGGAGCTTGAGGGGCCTGCAGTAGCAAGTTTTCTCTCTGAGACAGTCCCATTTATGTCATGCATGCAGGTGCCTTAGACAGCCTGGCCCAGCAGTCCAGCCAGGAGGGTGACTTGCAGGAGCAGGTGAAGCAGCTGGAATCAGGAATCAGTAGCCAAGGTACAAATCAGCTCCAGGAGAGGAGAGTTTCAGAGTAGCTGAGCTCTGCAGACATCCAGTTTTGACTGTGTCTAGCCAGTTGGATTTTGTGAGTCCTACATCTGTAGTCTGCAGGGAGAAGGGATTTTCTTTCACTTTTCTTTTTCTGCAGTAATTGAAAAATGGAGTTAGAGACTTATCATTCTATAGAGACAAAAGTTTTCTCCTCAGTTGTGCAAACAATGCCTGTTCAGCTATGACAAGAATATCTTTGTTCTGAGCTGTTGTAGGATGTTTGCCTTAGCAACACAGAGGCATTTGGAGAAGCTGCCTACATACAGTCTTCTCTCTTGGCAAATAGAAAAGGGGAATACAACAAATGCTCCTCCCTAAGAAGTTGAAAGCATCAAGAAATCATAATTAAGATGGATCCATCTCCTTCTGAGGCTTCCCCCAAATTCTTTTGTACTTTCTTTCAATTTAACATAGAGAATAATCTGTATAGGGGATAGTCAATGCAAATTTCTGTATTTCTTTCCATGGGTTTTTTCCTTCCTCTGCCACTCCATTGTTTCTCTTCTTTCCCTCACATCTTAAATGAAACCAGTGAAGGTGCTTTTGTTGTGCTGGTTTCCTGCCTTTTCTTTGTAATGCCCTTAGTTAATGTAAGAAACTTTTGCCCATTGAGGGGCTATTTTTATTATATCAGTTTCAACAAACACCAGTAATAGAAACAAAGGGCTCAAATCTCATTTGCTTTTCTTTTTTGTTACTGTTCCCTCCAAACTGGAGCAGTGGATGTAAAGAGAGGACTGAAAGAATTCTGAAAAATTAGTAGTTGTAAACTTGGAGTTTTGCCCTGAGTACACACTCAGTTTGAAACTTCCAGGGGTTTGCAGATGTTTGAGCTGAGAACAGTGGATCCTCAAGAGTTTGTGTGTTCCTGTTCATCCTATTGAGAATCCCTCACCTATGGACATCCAGAATGGCAGCACTCATGGAATAATGGAAGATGTTTGGAAAATGTTTTCTGTGTCTCTTTATGTTGTGTCACTGACACATCTCTCTGCTTCCTTTAGGACTGAGCCACAAAATCCTGTTTAGCCTGGTTTACACAACCACAGGGCTGCCCTAGAGATCTGGGAGCTTGTGAAAGCCACCAGTGGGTGTGAAACCCCACCCTCAGCTGGATGGAGAGGAGCAACCCAGGCAGACCTCTCCAGGTAGAGAAGGAAGGTGAGTGGTGTTTGCTGGTTTGTACCCATTACTGGGATGACAGAAATAGTGTGTTTGGCACAGTGGTGCCAGACCTTGGAGAGGAAATCTGCTCAAGGAAGTGAACTAACATGATGTAATACCCTGAAAAGAGCTGTACAAATCAGGAGCTGCTCCAGCCTCAGTGCTGTGCCTTTTGTTCTGACTCCTGTGCTGCTGGAGAATGGGTGCAGTCCCTGCAGGCATTTGCCTTTCATTTCAGTGGCTCAGAGTAAGGGATGTCACACAGAGACAGGCCATCATCTGGGGAAAGTTAAGCTCAGCTGCAAATGTCATGGAAGATCACAGTCATACATGTGTGAGGTGCCTCTAGCCTGTTACTATGAAAGTGCAGTGCTTGTTTTACCCATTTTCTGTAAAGGGCTTTGCACCTTTACAGTTCACTTTGACACCTGGTGAAGCATCTGCAGCACAGCCCCTCAGAGTGACCTGTTACACAGCCTTGATCTGGAACACACCTGTAATTTTCCACCCACAATCCCTGCTGGCAGGAGTTAATGGCAGGTGGCTCCTGCCAAGTGACTCAGGCCATGACTGGGGCCTGCCCAGCTCTGATAAAATCTCTGCCAAGCTGTTTAGAGGATCCCTTGCTCTGCTCACACCAGCTCATGTGGGTGTTGTCTCTACAGACCTGGCTCTGCTGGCATGTATCCCCCTTTTAGCTGACAGCTCACATCAAGCTCCTGGGCTTTTCAGTGACTTTGCCTGAATGAGAGAGATCCAAGAGCTGCATTTATGATGTAACACACAGTGTCATGGGTTGTGGACCATCAAAGAGATAGAAAAAAAACCACCATTCTCTTTTAAGTGACAACAGAATCTATGACCAGATTATTTAGGTTTTGGTTTATTTGTTTTTGGGCTCTGCCAGTGTTGTGTGCTGAGCTTGGCCCACGCTGGGGATGGGTGACCTCTGTGTGAAGTATTTGATGGCTTGATGTGGTGAGTGGGGACACCAGTGGCCTCTGCCTGGCTGCTGAGGGCTGTTAAGTGCTTGCTCTGGTGCAGGTGCTGGGTGTAAATCAGGAGTTAGTCGCCTGCAGAGGTGTTTGGAGCAGCTTGGGCACAGGTCTGCTTTGCAGAAGTGCTTCTTCACATCTCTCTGGCAGAGTAAAGATGTCTCAAAGCAGTTACTGATTAATTTTTCATCTGTTTGATTTTCCTCCCTGACAGAGTGGTAGAGAGACACTGTGCCAGGATCAGTGCTGCTCAGCACAGAGTGGGGATGAGGCTGCAGCACTTTGCAGCAAAATGGTGCCATATTGGCTTTGTGTTGATTCATTCCAAATATTTATTCCTCACTAGTTTGTTTCTGTGTGAGCAGGGAAAGAAGAATTGGAGAATTGTGCTTAATATTAATTTTCAGTGGTGCAGTTAATTGTAGACTTCTCTGAAAAGTGAATATATTCCTTTTCTAGTGTTCCTTCCCCCATTAACCTAAGGATAGGTGAAAGCTTTGACTTCACAGGGTTGTTACTGTTCTGTCTCTCAGTTCCATGTGTAGTGAAAGGAAACAAATCCAGCCTTACCTGTGTTGGCTAGCATAAGAGTTGTTCAGAAGAGAACAAGGAAGTGGGACAGAAGCTCCTTGGTTTCCTCAAAGCTGTTTCCCATTATGCCAAGCACTCTCATTCCTCCTCCTCCCAGTTCCTTCTGCATGGAAGGGAGAGCACAGAATTTCAGTGCCTTTCTCCTGGATGGAGGGTCAGGGTGCTGATCTGGAAAAACTTACCCACAGAGACACCTTTTAACTCTGGGCATCAGCACAGAATTCCCTGATCACTGTCAACAGTGAGCTGGAGACCTCTGTGGCCTCCAGCACCAGGCATGGCCAGTGAGGGGAAGTGTGGGTTTGTGGTGGAAGTGGCCCTGCACCCCTTCCAGAGTGACAGCATGGCATGGCTGAGGTGGCAGACAGCTAAACTGACCTCAGTGGTGGCTGCTTGCTAAAGCCAGGCTGTCACCAGTCTCAGAGATGAGGGGAGCTGCTTTTGAAGGCTTTGGGACAGACTTTTCTCAGATAAGAGGGGCTAAGTGAGACCCAAAGGACAGAAGCCCTCCTCAGTACCTCATCCCTGAGTGCCTCTGTTCCTGTTCATTTGTAGCCAGAAGAACATTTAGATGTTTTCATAGACATGAGTATTGCCACAATTGCCCAGCTCTCGTCTTTCCCTCTGCAAGGCTTTGATTGTGGGACCCCACACTGCAATCACTCTGAAAATGAAACCAGCCCTGAGTAAGAGCTGCTGGTTAAGCACTGAGTAATGGAGGGAACATGTGGCAGCAGTTTCTCAGAACTCCTCCTGGCTTAAGTGGTAGCAAAGAGGAATTCTGTCTGTGGTTGTAACTGTGCCCGGGGTTCCTAGATTTGTGCTGCTCTAGCGCACAGGCAGCAGGAACTGTCACCACAGGTATTGGTGACAGCTGTCATCAGTCCTGGAGTCAAGAGCAGAGCTGCGGAGGGGCTGTGTCATACCTCTAGGAAGCTGTGCCTTTAGTGTCATGTGCTTCCTCCCACTGTGTGCTTTTCTAATCCTGATGGGCCTAGCAGCAGCCTGATGGAAGTGTCTTTGCAGTTGGTTTTGGCCACCCCAAGGAGCTTTGTCTTTGCACAGGATGATTCAGTGAAGGTGCCAGGAGGGAACAGTTTGACCAGACAGAGCAATAATTTCTTGTTGGGTGGCCTGAGATAGCCATGGTCCTAGGAGATTAAAGCTTTTCAGGAAATGCTGTTGTTCATGTGGTCCTTTTCCATTCTTGTGTTTTCCTCTTGCTTCCACCTAGAAGGGTTTTGTGCCAAAAGAGACCCAAGAAGATTTCTACTCCTTTCACTGATGATCTCTTCCCTTGCCTTTCCTTTTGTCCTTGCCTCAGTCCCCTGAGGTCTTAATCCCCAGCTGCCAGCCTGTGTCAGGATCAGCACTGGCAGAATTCAGGCTCTAACTTTATCCCCCTCTGCAATTTCCCAGCCATAATATTTTAATTCTCTTCCCTCACACCTATTTTTGGAGCACATTTGTAAGGTCTAACTGTAAGTCCAGCAGCAGTGAGAGCAGTGGGAGGATGCTGTGCTTGCCAAGGAGAGCAGCAGTGGCCTGGCCTGCTGCTAGGGGTGCAGGTACCTGTTAGTCCCTCGTGCCACATGGACTCAGGGACAATGGCAGTGCAGGAATGTCTATCCTGAGAACATAAATGGGTGGTGGTTGGTTACACAGCTCAGCAGGTACTGCTTCTTTGAGTGGAAGGATTGATGTGCAGTGTGGACTTGCAAGAAACCATGAAATAGTGTTTTAACAGACCCAGCACATCTGGGAGCAAAGGATTTTAGAGCTGGATTGGGAACTGGTAGTGGCAGTATGACTGTGACCTTGTTAAACATAAACCTAAATAAAAAGAAGACTCTCCCAGCTAATACTGTAAAATATAACAGAAGCAAAGTTAAAATACTTACTGAGTTAAACTTGGCAAGTGTTGTGTAAGAAAACAATATTAGAATTAGGTATTCTTTAAAAACAATGCAAAAAAGTGTGATTTGCCCTCAGGAAAGAGTTATCTTCATAAAAGCTGAACATTGTTCAGTGGTGAAGACAGCATTAGGAACAAAAAAGTGAAAGCAATGTGGAAGGGGAGGGTGAGCTGAGCACAGTTAATATAAATTAGAAATGAAGTGCAGAAAATTAGAAATGAAAAGGAAAATGTAAAATTATCCTTGGCTGCTATCTTCAAGGGCACTAAAGAATTTAAACATTCTGCTTGAAACAGAAAAAGGAATTGTATAAGGTCTCTTTGAAATGGAAATGCTGCAATTGTTAATGATGATGAAAATAAGTAGAAGCATTTAGTAAGTATTTCTGATCTGTGTTTGGATGACAGCAGAATAATACACTAGACTCACAGGAGGACAATGAATTAATTTCTCAATTATTAGGCACCAGGAAAAGAAAAGTATTATAAAACACCAACTAGTAATAAGCATTTTAGAAAGTACATGTTCAGATAACGTGCAGGCAAGAGCCCCAGCAGAGGTGTTGAGAGGATAGGTGCTGTACATGTGGCAGGTCTGAATGGTGGGGAAATCCAGGACTCTGGGGTTTTAATGTGCCAGAAGGAAAACTGGATTAGCCCAGCAAAACAATCATGGGAGGAGTTGAGAGTGGAGGGCTCTGTGGTGGCTAAGCAGCAGCACTGCAGAAACCTCACAAACTGAATTCTGACCTGATCTGGCACAGCTGTTAGAAAGCTGCCAGCCTTTTCTGATAATAGAGCCCAGTAACAGTGCAAACCAGCTGCTTTCCCTGAGAAAGAGCTCTTAGCTTGGGACTGTTACTTGCCACCTGCATCAGCTATTCCAAACCATCAAGAAGAATGCAAACAATATCTCAAAACACCTGGGGTGAACTGACTGATCATTACAGGGTAACAGTTTGTTACTGACTGTGGTGGTGTTTGCAGGGGTCCCAGGATGAGGGAAGAGATGAGAATGTTGACTCCATGTTTCAGAAGGCTTGATTTATTATTTTATGATATATATTATATTAAAACTATACTAAAAGAATAGAAGAAAGGATTTCATCAGAAGGCTGGCTGTTGCAGTGTGATGCCATTTCCTGTTTCAGCTATCCCAGTAGTTTCCCAGGTGTGGCAATACCTTCTCCCTTCCCCTCCCCTTTGCCTCCTTGCTAAGTGCAGTCAATCTTATCATTCCAGCATTGTGTGATTGGCAAAAGTTCAAAAGGGGTCATTGGCTTGTCCAAGTGTCATTGTCCCCTTCCCCCCCTCCCACCTGGTCAGTGGCTCACCTGTCCCTTCCCTCCCCCTGCCCCTAAGCTTAAAAGACACAGGGACCATGCAGTCGAGATTCTGTGGAGCTGTTACAAGATTCAGACATCTGTGACTCTGGAATAAACTCTGGATTAAACCCTCTGCAGAATCTGTCTCCTTTTCCTCTTCACCTAGCCTGGAGCCTTTCCACCAGAGGTAAACTGAGTTTCTACCATGCCTGGACTTGTTCTGAATGCCCAACTGCAACTTGCAGCCAGCCAAAGGCGTCTCAGAGGTGAAACACCACAGCTGCCACCTTTGGCCCGGCAGCAGGGGTCAGACGAGCCCAGGCACGTCCCACCTGGAAATAGCTGGCTAAGAATAGAAAAGAATGATAACAAAGGCTTGTGACTGACCAAGACAGTCCAGACAGCTGGGCTGTGATTGGCCATTAATTAGAAACAACCCCATGAGACCAATCCCAGATGCACCTGTTGCATTCCTCAGCAGCAGATAACCATTGGTTACATTTTGTTCCTGAGGCCTCTCGGCTTCTCAGGAGAAAAAATCCTAAGGAAAGGATTTTTCATAAAAGATGTCTGTGACAACTGACCAGCTGGGGACAGACATGAGATGTTTGTAAAACTCTGTATAAAGGGATGTGTGAATAAGCCAAAAACCTTTTTCACTCCGTGAAAAGAATATGTCTTGTCTCTCTAAAGCAAAGTTAACAGCAACAGGGCTCCTCCCCTTTCTCCCTCTTTCTCTGTGGGCTTAGGGAGAAGCCCTGAGGGAGATGAACCCTTTGTGTAGCTGCTGCATTTACAGCCTCTCCTGACTCTTACAGGATAGAATGACAAATCAGCTTCTTTAGGAATAGGTTGTTTGGAGTCATGGAATCAAATAAATAAATTTTTAAAAGGCTCTGGATCAAGAAAAGCCCCAGAGTGCTGCTGACTTGAGAGACAAGTGGGCTGGCTTAGATTCCAGGCCACCATTCCCCAAAGCAATGTGGATTTTGGATTCACTGCTAGTGGGGGTGGTCCCACGTTGTTTATTCCTGGCTATTCTGTCCACCAGTGAGTTCAGCTCCTGCTTACATAGGAATTCATTTCCTGTGGAAATATTCTGAATGATGATACAGATGCTGAAAACAGCAATTCCTCTCTGATGGGTGAGGAGGGGGGCATGCAGCTTGTAGAGCTTGGAGCCTCCCTCTGAAGAAAAGGTCTGCTTGCAGGGGAGCTTTTGGGGCTGCCATGGACTGCCCAGCTGCAGGGCTTGGATGCTCTGTGGAGCAGCCTGTGAACTGAGGCAGTTTTCCCACCTTTGCACCTGCTCCAGGACAGGATTTCCAAGATGAATTCCAGAAGGTTCTGTGTGCTGGCTATGACTCCAGTGGGCAATACCAGGGGCTCCTCTGCTATGGGCTGGAGGCCTGGATGAGATCTGGCAGCCCAGATTGCTCCTGCATAACAAACTGGAGTATAAAAGGGTGAAATGCTGCCTAAGGAGGCTTCAAAGATACAAGACAGACATTCCTAGGTGCTGCTTCCAAGCCAAGGCCTTTGAGCTCCTCACTGCAAAAGGGTGGAGCAGGAGAGGAAAATCTCATCAAAGGAACAGCCTTTGCCTGCTTGTCTCCCTTGCCAAGAAGGCAAGGCTAAGGATGAAATATTACACTGTTCATACAGTCATTTTGCTTTCAGTTGTATGATAAAAAATATTTATTGTATTTTTAATATATAAATACCTGCACAGTCCCCCACCTCCCCATCAGCTTTGTCTCGCAGCTTCTCCTGTGCCTCTGCTTGGATGTATTCACCACAATGGCAGAGGTGGTAATTCCACTTTATATTCTTAAAGCTGCCTTGCTAGGAAGGTAATTTGGTTTTCTTAAAAGGCTGGAGTGCTTTTCTCTGAATTGTTATTTAATGTGTATTTTTCAGATGTACTGACATCTCCAGTGAGCGTTTCATAATTTAAGGGTAAATTATTTCTTCTCAGTCTTCTAGGAAATGCCAGTACCTGTGAGTATCATAGAGAGAGGCCTTTGTGTGTTCAGTTAGCTCTGAGATAGGGGCATTCAGTTTCTGTGCTCTTGCACTTTGCACCTGGTATTATTCATCTCCATTCATTACAAATGAGCTTCTCAGCCTAATCTTTTGTTCCTATTATCAGCCTGCTATGTGTAATGCTGATGTAAAAGCAATATTAATCATTGGATGAATGGTAGGAACTAGAAATTGAATTACAAATGGAATTATTAGTATTTATGTAAGCCTAATTATGCTGTAATGTTTTGTAGACCTGCATTGGAAAAGATCTGCACCACACAAGGAATGTTTTTCCTGGTGCAGCTTTATATAATCAGTTCTCAGTATCTGGAGTTTTCAGTAGGTGATTTTTAGATACAGTTTTAGAGCCCAGTGCTGCTTTTTCTGTGCAGGGTGAGGGAGGGGAGTGAGCCTGGGGGCCCTGCTTGTCCTTATCTTCTGGGGGTGGGAATGCAGTAAATGAAACTAGTTCAGGGAAACTCTTAATCTCTCTACATTATCTGTCTGATCTAGCAGAGATCCCATGTTAAAAAATTTCCAGGAATTAGTAGCTTCTACATCTGGGAAGTAACTTCAGTCCTAAAACTTCTTTGGCAAAAGCTGCTTGGAGGATGTTTTTAGGGGCATACTGTGAGTGTCACAGGCTGTTCCATCTGTTTGCAGAGCAGTTGCAGGCTGTGAGCAGAAGAGGTGGGGAGGTACCACTGACCTCTTCAAGGGTATCACCAAAGCTGGAAAATACAGCTTGGAAATGCATTTTAAAATACCTCCTTAGGTGTTAGCTCTGCATCAGTCTTTGCATGTCCTAACTGGCACTGTGAGGCTTGGGGTGCTGATATTGTAGAAATCCATAAAACACAGCTCCAGATGTCAGCCACAAGCTTTGCAGTTTCTGAAGCATTTCAGCACTTCTTAAATGTCTGACTGTGCTTCTGCTTACAGAATATTTTCTTTGTCTTATTCTTTTAGCAGTTGTTGGGTTAGAATGTAAAGAGGACATTTTTCCTAATAATCATATGAAAACTGGTAGTAGAAAGTAATTCTTTTTAAATGTAATTCTCCTATTTAGCATTACCCCAGTAAAAATTATATTATTCAGAAGAAAACACCAGAAAATGAAGTCTTCTAGTTTCTCTTCTAAGACCTGTTATTAGTGAATCTGAATGAGTGCAGTGCTGCAGGCTCCTGCCATTTTTTCCAGCTGCAGTGTGACTGCTGCCTGATTTGTGCATTGTGCAGTTTGCACACTGGGTTTGTCTGTCAGTCACTTCTTTCTTTACCTGTTTCTGTTCACAAACTGACAGGACTGGCAGATTAGCATTACTGCAGAGGTACCTGTTATTGGAGCTGTTGTTTCCTTCATCCATTATAGATGGGGGTTCCAAGGACATTCTCATTGTTCAGTAATTCACAGACCATGATTTGTATCTGCTCACTAATTCCCTGTACGTGGGCTGTGCATTCTCAAGGGTTTTGTGCAGAGTGACCCTGGCCTGGGTCACTGTAAAGCCACATTTAATTTAAACAAGGGTACATTCAGCTGGCCAGAGTGTGTGTTTGGAGTTTAAATTCATGGTGGTTTCCTCCTGCCTCCATGGGGCTGATTACCACACATTCCTTTCTTTTAATTTCAGCCCTCTGCAGTTCTAGGAAAAGGTCCTTGATTAAGTACTGAGAAACCAGTCTATTTGTGGGTCTAATTTTACTGCTTCAATTACATTACTGTATGCTAAATATAGGAAGGCACCAAGCAAATCCCAGATCCAGGGCAGAACAGGGTGTTCAAGAGCACTGTTCAAGTTTAAATGGCATGGTTTGGACCTCTGTGTAATTCTAGCTAATGAACCAATTTCTCACCGAGCATAAATGAGCACATCTACATTGATTTATAGGCAAGGAGCTGGGTCATCAGTTTGGCACAGCTAAAAATGAGCCCAGGGCCCAATTCTCTGCTTCCAGCTCCTAATTGAAGGGAGCAGAGATAAATGGTGTGTCATGCTGTGGAGTTCAGAAGTCCTGGAGGGACTGCAGGGTGCTTCAATCTCTAAGCTGGTGCTTGAGAACCTGAAAATCATAGAGAGAAAAATGTTCAGCAGCCTGTAACCTGGTCTTGTGATTTGCTGCTCACTCTGCATTGCTTTCTGTGCTGTTCCCTGGGTGGGGTTTTAATATCCCTAAAGAAAAAATCCATATAAGATAGCAATGAAGCCTGCTTGTGTCCCAGAGCTGGATGTGTGGCCTTGGCATGGCAGGGACCTCCAGCAGCCCCTGTAACCTGGCAGGTGGGAACTTTCCTTCCATCCAGCAGCTGAAGGAAACACCCAACAGACACAAACCCAGAGCATTGCAGTAGGTGAGGGACTGATTGCAGTGCAGACAGAGCCTTATCTGTGATAGCCTGTGAGAGCCTCCTGTATCTGGGGGAGCAGCTCCTGGGCAGCCCCTGGTGGCCTCAGGCCAGGCCCTGTCCCGGGGTGGCAGTTCCTGGGACATTCATTGTCACCCCTGGGGCTGGCTAAGGGCACCAGGCTGCCCATGCCCAGCTGAGACACACAGTGTCACACTTGTGACACCAGTGTCACCTCCCAGCACAGCTGACACAGCATTTCTTGGATTGTCCAGCAAGGTCAGGCCTGAATTTTAAAAGAGCTGTGTGACTGCTCAGCCAGCTGTGCCACTGACTGCAAACTTTGCAGCAGGATTTTTCCCTCTGTTCATAGCTCTGTGCTGCTGCCTTGTATTTCTAGGGCAGCTTGTGGGGAACCCTGAAACAAACTCGTTTTGGTTCCTTTTTTCTCTATCTCAAGGCTTTTCTCACATTCCTCACAGCTGGTGACTGCTCCATTTCCCTGAGTCTCATTCAGAGTGCTGTACCTACAAGCCAGATACTTGTCATCTCAAAAAGATGTTTGTTTCCACAGAAGAATAGCAATGAGGTTACTGTCTGCTCCCTTCACAGTCAGCTAGGCTGGGAGAAGTCCAAATATCCAATCATCCCTTGGAATTCATAATGGTTGAAGATAAAGCAGCCAAAAATAGGTTCTATGAGCTGGATGGCTCTATAACTTTCTGTGTTTATCTAACAAGAAAATGTTAGGAAGTACAGTGGGTCATGGACTAAACTGAGCAAGATCATGAGGCATGTGGGGGCTCATGGAGATGAGCTTATTGGTTATTTATTTGATTAACTTAACCTCTCTCTGCTTGAGAATTGTCTTCTTGCATTGCTCTTATGTTTGCTTGATGATAAAAGGAAAACCAACCCAGCTGTACTGTGAGGCATTAAGAGATGCTGAAAGGAGTCTTTTGGGGAGAGGAGGGGGGAGCAAGGAGAGTTTGCACAGCTCTGCCAGAGCCTTATTTTTTCCTGCCTTCCAAGAACAGGCTATGTTCCATCCCCTGCCGCCCCCTCAGCTGGTGCTGGGAAGAACAGCTGAGTTCCTGAGTTTAGCTCACTGTTCCTGGAAGTCACTGAGACAACAAGCATCAAGAAACCAGCATTTTCTGTAGCACTCTCTGCTTCAATGGAAAAGATGAGCTGATCTTGATCCTGCTTGTTCACTAGCCAGGATTAACCCTCACTGCACCAAGACAGGCTACAAAATGTGCCCTTTCAGAAAGGGACTGTGTGTCTGAAAGCCACTCTGAAATGCAGTGTCACACCTTCAGTAAATGCATCTCTGAGGTAACTCAGGCTGTTCAGGTTTATGCTGGGACCCCTTTTGTTGTTTTTTTTTTTTTGCCCATCAGAGTTGAAGCAGAGCAATTGTTCAGCCAGGCTGCACCAGTGGCCATCTGTGCTCAGTGAGGGAAGTGCCTTTTGCAGAGCAGAGAACTCAGCCACAGACTTCCCCAGAACTGCCCTAGTTAAGAAAAGCCTTGTGAGGGCAGTTCCAGCTTGGTGCTGTGCACTGATGCACGGGATGTTTGATTTTGGGCTTTTAGAGCCATATAACAACCATGCCATCGAGTAAATTCCAGTCAGTTCAATGAAATTGCTTTTATGAGGGTTACAAACAGGGAGGAGGGTTTGTAGTTTATGATGCTGTGATTTGGATTCTGTTTCTTGTTGCTTGATGGGTTCTCCAGTGCCTCAGTTTCCCTGAATAGTGTAGGATATACTGATACTGTGGTTCAGCTGGGCATCCTTAGAGTTTCTTGGTGTCTATGGGGTCCCCAGGCAGAGAGATCTCCAGAAACACAGTCTGTTACCAGACCACTGGAAATGCACTGGTTCATTTGCTTCTTTACTTAGACTGATTCAAAGCTTGTTATTCCCCAGCTGTGAATGTCACAGCCATAGCCCCAGTGCCAAATTTAGCTGAGTCTGATGAGATCAGGAAACAGCTTAAAGTGAACAGAACAGGCAGATGTAGGCATGCCTGGTGTTATTTCCATGGATGCAATTAATAGAAGTAGTCCAAAGGTTTTTCTCTTTCAATGCTTTTGGCTTTCTTTATTCAAGGGATAAAAAAATCTGTTTCTTTCCCTGTGCTTAAAATTGGCTTAGACTCCTCAACTGACACAGGTCAGCACTGATACTTTACTTTCTCAGTGGAACTCTGATGAGAGCTGGCCCCTGATGTCAGCTCCTCTTTGCAGTAAGCTGGGAAAGAAAACAAACTTGAGTCATGAGTGCCAGCATGGGCATCTGGCACAGGGCACCCAAAGGACAGAAGGTGTTGGGGTAACCTGGGGTGTCAAAACCACCATTTCTGGTAGCTGGCACTGGTAGCTGCATGTAATGAGGCAACTTCTTGAGATGATTTTTGTGCCTGTGCAGAGTTCATGGAAGTGACTGATTTTTTTTTTTTTTTTTTTTTTTTTTTTAATTTTTTTTTCTTTTTCTGTCATGGAGGGTGAAGGAAGAAGGGCTGAAGCACTTGGATCCTACAGGACTCTGCTTTGCCCCTCCTGTCCCCTAAAGGGATTTCATTGCTCTTCAGTTGAATTTCAGGCTTCAGAGCCAGCATCCCCCAGTACTGTGAGGCAGGGAAGGGGCTGTGGGGTGATCCCTGGTGAGGGTTTGGCCTCTGGGGAAGGAGCTGAGTGACCAAGGCCACCTGCAGCTGCCATACCTGCTGTGCTTTGGGCAGCTGCCTGGAGCAGCAGCTTTCTCCTGGAGTGTGCATTCCAGGGAAGCAGGGGCACAGGGCTGGAGCTGTGGGTGTGCAGAGGGGCTGGAGGTGCTGTCCCTGGCAGCTCCCTCAGTGCAGAGCTCAGCCTTCCTGTTGTGTGTGGTCTTATTTTGGTTTGTGCTCATTCTTACAGCGTGGGAAGGTGCCAGAGCAGCAATGCTCATGCTGCTGATCAGCCTTTAAGGGTTTCTTTGTTTGACTGCCTCAGTTCTTGGAAATGATTAAGGCCAGGCAGCATCTGAAAAACACTAAGTAGAAAAAATAGCTTCCACCTGATATTTTCCTTGTAGCACAAATTCAAAGGGAAAAACAGAGCTGCTGCAAAAGACTGCAGGCATCCTGTATGGTGAGGAGGTGTCAGCAGCTGAGTCAGGCCCACAAAACAGCATTAAACAGAAATCTGTGTATCTGCTTGTCTGGACACAGCTCCATCCCTGTGCTGTGCTCACAAGGTGGGTGAGGGTTTGCAGGGTGCAGAGTAACTAACACACACTTGTCAGGCATGATAGTGATGGGTTTGGTCCTTGCACTGTGGCCTTGCAGATACCACCCACAAGAATAAAATACAGCATCCTATTTCTGAGTAACAGGCTGATCACAGTGAAATAAGGAATGAGACCATGATAGCATTCACAAATTTCCAACAAATTTGTTTTCCAGCAGCCTGGAATTTTCATGGGTGAAGAATGAGAATTTTCTTTGATTTACATTTTATGATTAAAATATTCCTCTTTTGTAACCAGAAGTTGCAGGGTCAGTTGTACCCCTGCACACAGGTCCTATCCCAGGCTTGCTAGCCCTGGGATGTTTGGTCATATGAGCTGTGACAATTGTCCTAGAAATATGAGGCTTGAAACCTAAAGTGCTCATTATCATTTCCATTACAGCCCATTCAGCAGTTTGCAATCTGGGATGCATCTAATTTTACAGGAAGGCATCTCCCAGGAAGCTTGGATTTGGTACCAGTGAGGCAAATAAAGGGGGAAAAGGGGCCTGGAAGCCCAGGGTGCACAACTGATTTGTCTCAGGATAGCTGACAGGTCTGGGAAGAAAGGGAAATAAGCTCTAGGTCTTCTGAGTCTCAGCCAGCAGCTTTGCTGCCTCTCACCTGGGGGTATAAGTCTCTGAAATGGGTGGTTTGATCACTGTTGGCTCCTGCTTCCTTCTCTCTTCATTCATATTCAGTAGCTTCTTTGCCAAACAATTCTGTAGGTCTCCAGAAAGCAGAGGGTTGGAGTTTGAGAGCTCAGCTGTCATCAAGCTCCCAGAGCTGTCTGGGAGCTTTGCTTGTACAGCAGAAATTTCCAGAAGCCTACTGGTGTCCTAGACCATTTGCACCAGGTGCTGCAGTGGCACAGCTTGGGAGAGCTCCTGCTCTGCCAGGAGGAAAGAGAGACAGTCCCGTAT